AGTTGTAGGAATTCCGGATAGTTCGGGAACGAAATCAAGCAATTTGCAGGCTGATGTTTTGCGTTAGCTCTGGCCGGGCAGGGATGTGTTTCGCGCCAACCATCAGCCGTCCCCACCATCCTCGCCCCCGCCCCCTACCCCTCCCCCACCAGCGTGACCTGCCCGAGAATCAATACAGCTACCGACCGCCGCCCCAACCCCATCCAGCCAGCCACCCCTGCCCCACCTACTTTCCACGCTACGCATCCCCTTTCGCCATTCTCGAGTGCCGATTCCCATTCTGGGTTCGCAGCTTCAGCCCGTCGTTCCCTGCCCCCGCCGAACCCCGACAGCCCCCTCGGCCCGCGCACACGTTCCTCTTTCTGCCACTCCAATCCCCCAGGCCTGCATTCTCTCCTCTCGCCGTCGTCTCCTTCCGTTTTATTCACTCCCAGCCCCGCTGGTCTTTATCCCCCTCCGGCACCGTCCAACCCTTCGTTGTCCTCCCACGTGCCACGAGCCTCGTTCGCTCGCTCGCTCGCTCGTTTTCTTTGGCCCGCCGGTACAGACTCGGTCAACCACCCCTATTGGCTGAACGACCCTCTCAAGCGGCTAGATATCCAGGCGAGTAGAAAGATGATACGAGGCCGATGAAAATGCCAGAGAGAGGAGAGGGCTGGTGCGGGCCAAGCCCACTGGGAGAGGAGAAAGCCAGAAACAAGAGGAAGTTTACGAGTCGAACATTCCGGGTGAACTTGAGCGAGTCCGGGCGAGCGAGATTGGCGGCCAGCCAACCCTCCCCGTTCCACCACCCTTCCCCTGGCCTGGCCTGGCCTGCCCTGCCCTGTCCTGTCCTGTCCGCCGTCGGCCGGGGTGTTTGCCCGATATTTACATTCGGATGAATCGGCCTGTCCACGGGATGGTATTTCGAGTTTGGCCCGTTGCGACGTCTTGTCGCGGTCCTGCTATTCGTTTGGATCGTTAATCGAGCTCGTCGCGCGTGTACCGGTAAATCGATACTTTACCGTGGAAAAAAATTCCTACACCGGGGATGTAAAGTGGTCGGCGCGTGTATTGGAAAAGTTTCGTTTAAACGGAAACGCGTCGAGTTTCGAGAATCTCGGGGTAAGTGTTATGCAATTTCTTGCACGAAGACACCCCTAAGCTAATTCAAATTCATCGGGAACAAAGTCGTTACTCATTGGCAGGACAATGTCGCCTCTAACTCTTCCCTTCTCTGTAAAATGTATCGCCCGATACCCGATAGCTGAGCGACTGCAAGTCACTAGCCATTAGAGTGGCTGACCGAGTAATCGGATATGCTTCGGTAATCGGATACTTTGCAAAGTTTCCCGTAATATTAAGAAACCAAAATGCATTTGCCGATATTTGTCATCTTTGGGGAATAATATAATATTTTAAACTCTGGTCTGATCAAACAATATTTGCAAAACACGCGACCGCGAACTGGTTGTTCCGGTCCACTCTTGTCCGTTCTATTCTCACCCGAACGAGACCCTTTTGTCTTCGTTTCCCGATTAGGAAAGCAGGCGCGACCGGTTCGAAAGGGGACCCTTGAGGTTCTCCTCGCCAATCGGGAACGCATTTAATTGACGGTTCTACCCGCGAGGTTCCTTTTTAAAGAAGCTGTTCGTGGATTTAATGAGAAACACGAGGAACGAGACGCCACGGGGGGAACTACCAATCTCTCTCATCCCCTTTCTCACGTACAGGAATGCGGGCCGAGTGTTCGTGCGGACCGAGTTCCTCCGCGGGACTCGATATTGCTAGGGGATCCCGTAGCGGGGAACGGAACACGGAAGCACCAGGAAGATTATACTGTTACTCGGGATCGAGAAAACAATAAGAAGGCAATACCACTAACAAAATTCGAGAGCTCCAAAGTCTATGGCTTACGGTTCAATACAGACGTGCAAGAGAAACACTCGGTTTACTCCTTTCTTTATAAATATCGCTCGTTTCGAGGAAGAAAATTGATCCAATAGCGATAATGATTCGCGAGAAAATCTTTCGATCAAGCTCTCGACTCTGCGTCGAAGGTAATCGTGATGACTAAGCACGTAACTATGTTTCTTATCGATGAATTTTTAACCTACTGCCGAAGATAAAAACGCGGTTATAAAATCGTACGATACGCAGGTGCTTGAGAAATTATCGCGTTCGATCGATCGCACGATTTTTCTTTATCTTGCGACGAGATACGATATCTCGGAGACAAAATTTCTTAGATATCGCGCTCTCTGACCCCACGAGACGCAACCTCGTTGCTCGAATAAGCCGCGGCGAGAAGCGGGGCGAAGAAATTCAGACGGATATTCGAGCGGCGAGCGTTCGTTCGTAGACCAGCCTTTAAAGTGGTCCTAATGGCCGTTTCCAAGAAGCGTCTCGAAACTGGAGAGCAAGTTCCATTACGAGCGGGAGCAGTCGCTGGCTTAATCCCTTTCGGCGAGTTTTCGAACTCGTATAAGCCAGCTCGGAACTTGCCGACTTAGGGCTGTCGGGCCAACTATCCTGCGAGTCACGAATTCCGCGAACTTTGCACGCAGCCTTCGAGTCAGCTTCCGACAGACTTCGGTCCAGGACGCGCTGCGAAAATTCTCAGCGAGAAGCAGCTGGACGACTGCGATCCCCCCGATAAATCGATACAACGCTGTTAGCTATCGCTGGAATTTCTACGACAACTTGTAGCTAATCCTCAAGGTAGAATGCTCCGGTCTATTCCCGTGTCTCGATTATTCGATGCTCCGTGCACCGAGTATAAACGTCTCGCGTCGCGGCGTTTTTCTTGCCGAAGGTCGCGGAAGAAAGTAATTTCGGAGGCTGGTTCCGAGCGAATCGACCCGATCGGTTGGCGTAATCGTAGCCCGAGCGAACGTCGGACACCGGTGGAAAGAAAATGATTTATGAACAACCGGACGACGGGTCGGGGGATGGGAGACTTCTCTCGCATTAACGAGATTGTAAGGTCGACGGATGGAGAGAATTCAGAGTTCTTCGTGGAACTTTCTTCCCGGGGCACGGAAGAAATTTCAAAGAAGGAATAACTCTTCCTGCAGACGCCGGTAACCCCGGCTGCGTCGGATTCGAAACTTTCAGAGAATTACTCGCTAACGATAGAAAGTTTCGAGCCGGGGACAGGCCAACCGGGGTTAACGTTTCGGTCTTGTTGCCACTGAAGAGTAACTTTGAAAAGTGACTTCTGATTACCATTTCCAACGCGTCCATTGATGGTGCCTTCGGGAGCGAACGAAAGGATTCCCTCGAGTTAAAATACTACCGCTGTAGCCGGTATTTCGCGGTATAGAAGATTCTATCGGGACAGGTTTCGTCTTAGATCGAAACCGACGATATACAGGCCATAGACGCAACGATTTATTGGACGATGACTCGCTCGTCGACTTGTAACGATACTCGTACGACGGTAATATGGCCGCGTAATAGCTACGTATTCGTACAACCTCGCACACTCGACAATTATAGTTGGAACAGTTGTATCGAGCACAGTTACGTAACTTATCGTACGATGAATCGTTACCTCTGACTCCTAATAGTTCCTCGAACAATCTGTTGGACTAGACAGTAATCGTTTCGATGTTCCGTGTCATTCTAACTCGCCTAGATCAGGTCTGGGTTAGGCACCATTACGAATACCTCCACAATTAAAAATTAAAACCATACGTACAGTGCAAGGTACGTTACATTTTGAAATCGTTTTAGATCGGATTTTAAGAGCGGTACGTTCGTTCGTTAGATAGAAAAACAAATTGGGATAGAGATTGTTCGTGTCGTTAAAGATAGGGATCCCGAATGGCAGACGAGACGAGGTCGTCTCTCGGAAGGGACGGTAGAAGCGTTCCGATTACCGTCTCGCCAGGAAATCGAGCGAAGAGGACACGAAGAAGGTGGGGCAATCGTGTTCACGAGGAACGGAAGTCGGCCGCCAAGGTAGCAACGGACACTATTCCCGATTCCTGAAAGCTCGAGGGCGCCGCAAACACGACTTTATTGATTTTCCGCGTTAAAGGGAAGCAGTCGATTCGCGTAAAGTCGCGCTGCTTCTGGAAATGCCTCATCCGCGTATCTTTCAGTCCCGTTCGTTCGAGCGTTCGATTCACAGCGGCTCTCTTATCCGCTAAAGCGATATTTAATATCGATCGAAAAAACAAAGACGACTCGGAAGGCGGCCTCGGTTCACGGTAACGAACGATAAGGCGATAACACGGGCCCCGGTACGTTGAAAGTTGTCTTGCTCGTTATCTTACTGGTGTGAAAGAGGCGTCGCTCAAGGACAGAAAAGTTCTCGAGCTATGGACTCTTTGAGAATTAAACTGGCGCTACACCCTGTTGGAAACTAAAGACCAAGTATGGCAAAGAATAAAGTTGATTCTGCAATTCCGGCGACTTTGTTCAGTTTTGGAAACGTGGCTAAAACTACCACGATAAATATTAACGAAACGAATCTCCGCGACAGAAATTTCGTTCGGAGACGTAGGAATAATTTGCTCGCTAGAATGTTCCTACAAAGGAACGCGTAGCTCTGGTCGAACGAACGGAGTATCAAAAGCTATCTTTTCTCGGGTTATGTGTTTACTTGCACGAGGTTATCGCGCTTTTCGATTCGTGACTCAGAACGTTCTCCGATCGGTCGATCGGCGATGGAAGAGTTGCGAAAGCCGACGTCACGATCCTGGACAGCCACCGATCAAACTAACGGTTCGCCGCGAAGAGACTCGTTCTGCTATATTCCGTGGCTGTTAACTCGACACCGTCTGTCCGGGGTTCTCGCGAGCCGTCGTTTCTCTCTTTTTTCCCCGGCGACGCGAAAATATTCGCTTCGCTGGTCGCGAGACGGCAGTCGAGTATCAGTTTCCACGTTTCGGGCTCGAATAGAGTAGCCGAGCGAGAAACGAAAAGCGCAGCGTGACACACTGCTCGAGGCGCGTTTATTATCGTAAACTACATAGCGATTTAATAATAGAACGGAATTGAATTTCACTCACCACGACGAGCGCGTGCGTCAGAGCAGTCGATGACCTCGACCTCCTCGGTGTCATGCCGACGACCTCGCCTCTCATGATGCTCTCCACCACTGCAGAAAAAAGAATTTTTTTCTCTTTAGACGGGAAAATAAACGCTCTTTGCTCGTCGAAATTCCGTCGGTCTCGAATTACGGAAATATTTAAAGAGCAACCGAGTCGGAAGTAACACGATCTCGTGAGCGCATGAACCCACGAATTTACACGTATTTGTCTAGGAAACAAAAGTGGAAAGTAAATCGCGTGCCAATCCCCATCGAACGTATCCGCTCCTGCGTTCGCCACCTTCCACGAGCGTGTCTCTAATCTTTAAAATTTTCCTTAAAAATTTCTTGCTCGTCTTTCCACCGTTGCTTCTACAAAGAAGAAAACAGGGAAAGAGAAAATGTTTAGCGATATATTTAATAGTTTGTTGCGTCTCGAGCCGAAAAAAAGTATTTACGCGCGTTAAAAGCGGTCAAGTCGTCAAGTCGACCACTTGTCCAACTTGACGAGAGCTCGTGGAAGGTCGCTCGCGGTCAGAATCGAACGTCCTCTGGAGAACGCCGACGGAGAAAAATCGTTCTATTTATCCGTCGGGGAGATTTGTCGACGTTTGCGGCAGCATTGATCGCGAGGGTCATTCGTGGACTCACCTCCGTCGCCAATCAGTCGCATTTGTACTAAGCTGGGGTCCTCGTTGTGATCCTCGAGAACTGTGTCGTCGGTGACAGTCAAGTCCTGAAATTGCATCGTACCCGGCTTGAATCAGCAATCAGAAAAATTCAACCGTTCGAAGTGTCCGAATTGTTCAATTTTCCGCCACCGAGGCGGCTGTTTCCGAACCGATTTCACCGGATATTAACGAACAACGGATACACCGATTTGTCCGAAATCTACTTTGCTTTACGCCGCGATACCGCGATAGAATATTTTCAGACTCTCGACAAACGGTTAGGTAATAAACGATCGATGTGTTCTCAACGTTCTCCGAGCTTGGAATTGCATTTTCTCCCCGAATCGAGTCGTCGACAGGCAATCGTTGACATAGAAAGCGGTCTTCCATTTTCGTGTCGATCCGAATACGTCTGCGAGCGGCCGATTGAACCATCAAGCTGCTCCCTAGCAGCGATATATCTTTTTCATGAGCAATTTATGGCGCCTGCGAATGTTTTCGCTTCCAGTAGGAGGAACCTGGCCAATCTCCGTCGTCGTAGCGTGGCATAGCTGCCAATTTAAGGGTTAAAGATCGACCCAGTCGATGGACCGACTGCTCGTTAAGACGTATCACGATCTCAGCAGCGTTCACTGTCAACGTGCCCGATCGATCGTCGATGCCAGACCTTGCGTAAAACTTGGCCAACGGAGGACTTTGTCTTTCGTTGGCGCCCGATCGAGTCCTTCTTCTTCGAAACGAAAGTTATGGACACCGAAGGATCTCCCGCGTTTAATTGCTTCGAAAGATAAGGACTGGCTAGAAGAATCGTCGAACCGATCCGCGCAGTTGTTTTCGACTTCCGTGGACCAGGTTCAACGATTCACGATCCAAGAGAACGAGAGAGAGAGAGAGAGAGAGAGGGAGAGAGAACGTTCGCGGAGTAAGTCTCACCTTGGTGGACTCGTTGTAACCAACAATGACGGCGGTATACCATTGCGTGGTGCCTTCGGCCCGATAAACCTCGACCCTGAAGCCAACCAGGACACTTGGCGTGGTCAGCAGTATCCTCTGTCCGTCTTGCATCTCTGCCCATCGCCTGACGGCGCTTGCCCAGGGCACCGAGCCCTTCGTCAGCTCCCAGTCCTGCTGCAAAAACGACAACCGGTTCAAGCCACGCTTAGGACTTTCTCTTTATCGCGCGACGAATAGAACGAAAACTCCGAACCGACCGACTCTATCCGAGCTTGCAAGCTCTTCTACTTAAAGCTAATCGAGAGTTATTCGTCTCTTTACCGCGGCTGAAACAGGTGGATGCATAGCGAGATCACTTTCTACCAATATACTACACAGGGCTTCCTCGAGGTGGTATCCGATGCGATACCTCGCGTCGTAATTGGGCGATTAATTCTTCTCTGGCGGCAGTTCGTTACGCGTCTACGCCTCACCGACAAAGTGAATCTTATCTCTGGCAGCACGAGGCCGATCCTTTCGCCTTTCGCGATTTATTAACGCTGATAAATGACGCATAGCGCAGAGGGTCACTGGGTAATTGGGAGGTCGGGAGCTCATGTGATTTTTATTTAATATATCGAGGATAGTTTGTAAAAATGCCTTGCTCCACATTACGGACTACCGTCCACCAGCGAAGACCGTTTAATAAACGGTTTGCTGCCGGGACTAGTATAACACCGTGTATTTATCGACACGTAGAAGACAAGCTCTGCGTAAAAAGTCTTGGATTCGAAAGGTGGAACGCAACAACGGAATCGGTGTTGCACAAGCTCGACGATCGATAAAGTCGTTTCCGACGCGTTGTTTCGCCTATTTTTCTTCCGCCGATTTTCCCACCAAGTCATCACGCGTAAAGGTGCGCGTCGCTGTAACGAATCGTTGCGTCAGCGTCTCGTTACGTCATCATCGCGCCGTTACGTCAGACGCGTTGTGCAATCATGGCGCGAAGCATGACGGTGATGGCACGATAATGGCAGTAATATAACGGCAATTATAACGTTATTATCGAAGCGTCGGGAGCACTTAACAGCCGCCACGACGCACGCCGACGATTTACCCGACGTTGTTCACGTAATATCCGCGTCGAACGACAAAATTAACGACGTTTCTTCAATACGCTTTCGCGCGCCCTTTCTCGTCGTCGGGGCACGGGATCCTCTTACCCCCTAGTTTCACGTAGTATCATTTCTATTTGAAATTATTGGATTCTAAACAGCTGACTAGAGCTTACGAACGCATCCTTGGAGCGTGTAGCTAGCTACGAAGGAAAGAAAGGAGCGGTCCGTGGCGGAGCAGGCCGTCGAGAAGCGAGGATGAGAGACGAAACGAGGAGGCATAAAGGCCGTGTGTTTGGCGCGCTTTGCCAAGGACCGTTAGGCAGAACGGGAATATGTTGGCGCCTCGCGTTGGCCGTTCTCCAACGTTCACCGACGTTGGTGCACGCGCGGTCTCGACACGAGTCACCAAACCGGCAGCTGCCAACGGGAAACAAGAGCAAAGCGGGCCCGCGTTCGACTCGGCTCGGCTCGGCTCCGCTCGACGGAGCTATCCACGGGAGCGGCGAACGAATCCTCCACGTGTTCGGTTCTTTCCGGGGCGTACGTGTCGGCGCGTCTGCACGACCCCCGAGGTATGCGTGCAGCTAGCTATGCGCCTCGAGAACAGCCGGGAGAAAGAACCCGTTGCATTTATAGTTCACGGTCAGCAGACTCGTTGCTCTTCTGCGCCGCGGCTGACCAATTCTGAGCCACCTCTACTCCTACGTTCTTTCGACGTTGTTTCTTTTACTCCTTCCTTTACCGCCCCGCCTCTTATACCTTTTATCTCGCTCTTTTTCTCACCACCGCCAATTTCCTCTTGCGATTCACCGCGCGTGTCTCGAAAAAATATCATATTTTACAATTTTAACTCTGGTCAGGTGGTCCAGCAAAAAGTCTCCGAGATTCGCCACAGTCCGTGGACCACGCTTCGAGCGAAACTGCTCCGTAGGATTTCTTCGAACAGCAGGTACTTGCTTCCGTCAAACTAGGATAACGAACCGGCACAACTTTGGTCCCGACCTAATACAAAGATGTCGTTGGAGTCTGCTCCGGACCGCGAAACCTCAAAATTACCGCGTGTTTGTAGCAGTTTGTACGAGAATAGGGCCTCGGGCTGTTGAACGCGACACGCCGTTCTCCTCATCGAGTGGAACTAATTCCAACGGTAATTGTCTTTGATACGTAACTGGCGAAGATCGGCGCACGAAAGTCTGAGCGTGCAGCTGATCCTGACCGAGCTCTCCACGGAACTTCTCGCCGCACGTGAACCACTTACAGTCGCCCGCGAACCCCGGCAAACTTTTAACGGTAAAAGTTCCGCTAGTTTAATTACTTGGAAACAATTCCTCGCATTCGCGTCTGCTGCCGCCCTTACGAACGCGAAAACTTTTCGTGCGCGTTCGACTGCCCCTACCCCCTTTGACCAACGGGAAAGCCTGTGATCGATTTATTGTTTTACATGGATGCTCGAAAATGGTAACGACAGCGGGGAACCTACGGATGATAATTCGTTGGATGGTCCTGAGTTACCAAGAACTTGGTCTCGGTTGCGAAATTTTATCGATCGATCGTCGAATAAACAATTGCATGTGCATCATCGATACCGAATGCGGCGACACACTCGCAAACTGTTGGCAACTTGATCCGATCTATTCGCGTGTCTCAGCTACCAACTAGGATCGTCATCCCTCAAAAGATTACTCGCAGACACGACAACGATTCCCCGAGGGTTGTTGGATAGGTCAACAGCCCCGAAACTTGCTCCTAAGTTTCCTTAGCATCCTAACGAAGCTAAGTTTCCAGTTACGAAGTGACTTGGCCGTTCGAGGATACTCGTGTCGCTCTTAATCGACCAGAAATCCTATCGCGTCTAGTCGGTAAAACGGTGCCATTTTAACGAAACATTGGAGCAAAGGGGTCGATTAATAATTTGCAAAAAGTTCCGAAGACTTATTAAAATTTTGGAAACCGAATTGAATAGACAATCGTGGTAATACTTACGGTGAACGGTTTCAGCTTGGCGTAGTCCACAAAGTCCAACCTTCGATCCTGCATGAATTCGAGAGGCATCGTGTCTTCCGGTAATTCGGCACGTGCCACCAAGGGGTAGAATGCCTGCAATTGAATTTCGATGGAACGGCAATTAGGATCCGATTGTTTCTATCGGTGGTTGTCTAGGAATTTCGCTAAATTCCTGATTGGAACCGATATGAAATTCGTGAACGATAAGTTGAGCGGGGATGGACGTTATCGTTGGACAGAAACACGCCAGGGGACATTTTATAAATAGATTTCCTCGACGCGCGCTTTATTTTTAAAACTACTCTAATTTCCGAAATATTGTCTAGCCTCGATATATACTTGACTCGTTGGAGTTAGTTCCCCGTCGTTTCCGGCGCTTAAACGGAATCGTGCCTTAGACGCCGAGGAAATAACTATCGACGCGCTCGAAAGTCGGCGTGACAGATAATTAAAAGTTGCAGCTAATTACGATTAAAACTCGGCGTCGAGCGAGGGAATTGCGAACGGAGAACAGCTGCAGCAAACGAACCGCGTCGGATCTGTCCGATCCTCCAGACGTCGCCAAGATCGTGGACACTTTGTATGCAAACTGCGGGACATTCGCCTCCGTTGGGCTGGAAAACTTGAAATTACTGTGTCCCGGGCGCGCTCTCGCGAGAATGGCCACTCTAAGGGGCAAACTGATCGGGCCAGTTTCACTCCTATTGTCAACGTTTCTTCCCCGGAGACTAGATAGAAATGTTTGGTACATTCTCAGACATTTGGCACGTCGACGCGTTCGTTGGTTGTCTTAACGTTCTATTGTTTTCGATTCGAATAGCTTGTAAATTTAAAATACAGGACAGAGAATCCAACTCCTATATAGAGAGTTAAATTTAGCGCGGAAGTCTGAATCGAAAGATCTCGATCGGGCAAAAGTCAGCAGGCACGCGTGGCTGGAGAGACAAAGAGCCGGGTTAATCGATAAGGTGAGCTTGAAAGAAGGTGAAAAGAGAGAGAGTGAGTCGAAGGACAAGGCATACTTACTAGAGCTGGCCAGGCGACCGTGTTCGCGACAGCAGTGGCGCCCCTCAGAGGTTTCCCGTTTATACGATGATGATGATGATGATGGTTATTATTCGCGTGGTTGTGATGATCGATGGCGATGAGACTGGCATGCCTGGGGTCGGGTCGTTCGGCCCAGGATAGTCCCTTTTCCACCAGGAAGAAAGAGAACACCGTGTCCCTATGCGGCGATAACCATTCTCTTCTTTGCCACTCTACGTCGTCGTATTCTACGAGGATCTGCAAGAAACACGTTCGTCAACTTTTTAGATGCGTTTCCACGCCAGGGTTCGATGACATTACGCGCATCTACCGACATCGAGGCGCCGCGATGCGCCGTTTCATTCGTTCGTATTTCTTTATGACCTTTACCAGAAAATACGTAGGGAGGTAAATATATTTTCAACCATCTCTTATATCGGATCAGTCGAAAATTGGTAAAGTCTGAAATGGCTGGTGGAAGTTGCGGAAACGAACACGCAAGTAAACGTAAAAATGGGTTCGCGAACTAACGGTAGAATAGCACGTGTGTTTAAAGTACAAGTACAAACGACCATTCATTTCGATACATATATTTATACTTAAGTAATACGTGTCGAGGTCGTCTATAATAAGTTCTTGCAACTCTGACCTCTCGAGACATCAATAGTCAATAAGAACGAAAACTTCTATCTACGATGAATTATATTTAACTCGAATAACATCCTTCTATAAAATTTTTGTTTCCCTTGTCTTCTACATTTTATCGTCTCTTCTACTTTGAATGCGTTTCATTATCGTTTCGTTCATGTTTTAAAAGTTATCGCGTTCGAAATTGCTATTTCAGTTCTTATTAATCTCATTAACGTTCAAGATATCAATCACCGTAGATACGGTACAAAGAACTTTACTTAGGGAATGAAAAGGTGAATACGTTGAAAGTTTGTTCGCAGACGTGGGTGTCGTTTTACAAGTTCCATTAGCCAATTAAGACTTTAGCTACAGTCCCTGTATACCCTGTGTAGACTCTTTTCCTATAAATCATAAGCTACACCCTCTATTGCGACCCTAAATCGTCGCGTCGAGGCGACGAAACGACAGAAAAGACAGGCGACAAGAGACAAGGGACAGTAGCTTGATATTGGCCGATTAATGGTATCCATTATTCATAAACCGCGAACAGGAACGGCGTTAAAGGGGTGATCGAGGAAGGAACGATGAATTCTCACGGTCGGTTTACTGCGGGGCTTCGTTAACGCGATAAATTCGACGCCAGGGAACAGCGACGAGCGAGCGATCGCTAATTGAAGGTCGGGCTGCGCGTCGGCTAATAAATGCGATCACTGTGCGTCGGGCATCCCGGTGAAACTGACCCGATGGCTCTTTTCGCGGCCTCCTTTTTCTACTATCGATGCTCTCGACGAGGTGCCAAGAAAGAATCCTTCGTAGACCGGTCGGTTCCGTCACAGACCAGATATACGAGCACACCTTACACCCTATGGACCGAAAGTGGCCCGATCTAACTGCTATACCGATTATGGAAGGGATTGGAAAAGGCAATCCAGTATTATCAAACGACAGACCAGGTACAGAAATTTGTAGGCGAAATTAAAAAATTAAAAAAAATTCCTTTACCGAAAATACAATGTCCGACCACCCGTGTTTCATTCCCCTGAAATTTCATGCGTATGTTTAAAAAATCGTAACTCCTGAACGGATTTTATCACTTCCTGTTGTGTTCGATTCTCTAACCTGTTGGTAACGTTGCGAGTGACACTGAGATGGTAATGGGGCTCTAGAGCCCCATAAAAATGGGCCGAAAAAGTACGTTGGACGTAAGGTTTACTCGTATACCGCGTCTGTGGTCTCGTTGCACATGTGCTCGGTCAATAAGTAAATTACCCACCCATGGTAACTTCCGTTCTAAAATAGACACGCGGTTGCCACTTGATGGCTACGTAGATGCAGCAACATTGTTGTCAATGTACAGTGTCGATTGAATTGCGCCTGTCAATCACATAGTACGGTATATTAAACATGGAGCATCGTATAATCAATGCTTCCTAGTTTGAGATACATCCTGTTTAGTTGAGGTTTTAAGGTGTCCAAAGTGTTCGTTTAATCCGACGCGTTCTCGGAACAGGGCGATCCATCGTTGGCAAAGTCATCGATCGGACTAATTATTGAACGTTTATCCATTTGATTTCTCGGGCGAATTCGAGTCTCAAACGATCAGCAACCCTCCCACGCAGCGTACCGAACGCAAAGGCACACGCGTGACCCGGTACGGCCGGCCAATTAATTGATAAATTAACATTAATGGGTGCTGCTAGATCGTAGAGGCCGGCGATTGCAACTGGCCACTTAAACGGCATCGACACGAGCGTCGTCGAGTGACTTTTTCAACGACCGAGAGCTCCAAATCCTTCGATTTTTGTCGGGGGATATATTTCTTTTGAATAAAATGGTCGAAACTAATTTTTCACTTTAATTTTGCTCTTTCTCGATCGTGCCATAATTACTACGTCACTTTGGCCCGTTCGTTAATAAACGATAGTATGGAAAACATGGTAAATCTTGCGCAACCGTAATTGGTCAGTTCGTTATATCGTGACAGGGCATAAATAATAAAAATGTTAATAACCAGAGCCGTTCACCGGCGACGATTTTTATTTATGTCCCGGGCGGCGATTGTATTTCTCCCTAACCGAATTTATGCCCCGAAATACGCCCGACTATTTACTCATCTTTGTTTTCCAGGCGAAATTTTGGAAAGCCTGGCGATCCGAATAATTGCTCCCGCGACATCGAACGATGACGCGGATAATTAACGCGCAAACATTCGAGCTAATCAAGATATGCGTCACCGGCAATTATTCCGCGGCAATATTGTCAGTATTTTCATTACTCGGGAAATTTCGCTGATCGAGGCGACGTTAACGCGTGTTTACTGGACAAGACTAGTCGATACGTCCTCTAACATTGCAGTGATTGCAGTTTGGTTCCATTCGTTTAGCAAAACCGTGTTTTTATTTAACGCTGGAACAAACAATTTCATCAGATTTCTAAACGTTTATATAATTGTTAAAGACGAAGAAATGTATAATATAAAATTGTTGCAAAAGGAACATTCTCTAAAACCGTCATCCTATAATTAAATCAGAAAAAAATCACTCGACTTCGACTCGTGTGCCCTTGATTTTATAGCAGACGTGAAAATAGTAAAATCCGTAAAAAACGCGGGGAAATCGAGATCCAAAGGTTCGAGATTTGTTCGCCAGGCGGCGATAGCTGTCGGAGTGGGGATCAGTAATGGCCGCCGAGATGGAGAAGCCCCGCCCCCAGAAACTTCCAGGCACCGCCCGACCTGTTGCCACGGCAACCGTTCGTCGGCCATTTTGGTCTCGCGACCTACCACAACTTTCCCCTACCGCGGACACAAACTTACCCCCTCCACGTTGCCCACCTTCATCCACGATTTACCTCCACTTCCCCCACCTTTGGCACGACTACTAATGCACGCCGTCGCGGTCCGTTTCGCGTTCCTCCCGTCCCGGACGCGGACCGAAACGGAACGGTATACGCGTGTTATTGTTCCCTCCGGTAACTACTCGTTCCGGACTTCCTTTCGTCAATTTTCGAATCGTTTGATTTAATAATTTCCAATTCGATCGCCAGCAACCCTTCGGAGGTAAATTAATTTATCTGTCGGTGTCGAATACCTTGCATTAGGCCGCAATTTAGTCTTATTACTACGTATAGTCTATCGCCCTTTCACCTTGCATTCTAAATGTTCATGTTTGATTAATAAGCAGTATAACCGAGTACTATTTGGATAAGTCAAATATACACGGTTAATTTAGTAAGAGCTTACGATACGGTTATGCAAAGATTTCAGCTATTTTAAATATAGTTATCGCATAGAAATATATGTAACGACCTTGAATATGAATAGGAACGAGAGGGGATTCCTGCGCGAATGAATTTAGACTACTCGAAAGTTTAAAAAGTCTGGATGGTCTTTTAAAGTTAGCTCGATATTAGTCATTTTCTACTTGAATTTATAACGATAGCGAGCGCGATGAAAGGATCGCTTTTGATTTACAAAGAAAGCGGTAATAAAACCAATTCAAAGAAATGCACGCTATAATATGCGCTCGCTTCTTTGGCATTTAAACAGAACCTCGAACGAGGGCCAATGGCCGGACTCCCTTCGGAACCTTTCGTGACTCTAATCACTATCATTTCCACCTCCGAACGGCGGAACATCGGCTGGAGATGTGGAAAAAAGGAGCGTGTCCCCAGATTTTAAAACGCAGATAACCGACACGTCGTTTGCTATCTTTTTAACACTTTCGTAGTCGGTGATTGTAGCTCATGACCTAAAACTAGGAGCTCGATTTACAAAAATCTATAGCTGGGTTGCCGCAGAGTCTCAACGCTAGCGCTCGAATTGAAAACGATTCGAGTAGAATCGGTTCTAAATATTGGAAAATTCGTTAAGCGTTTCGCTGTGCTCGAACGAGCGATTGCGGAAATGTGAAAAAGTGCAGGTTAGAAATAAACGCAATTAATAAATGGTATTCTATTATCGAACGACATTCGTGCTGTTCCAAAATTAGCGAACCATAATAAGAGATTTGATGGACTTATTAGACAGAATGACGATGAAAGATATTCACGAAACGTGACGTGTACGAAAATACTCGCTACTCGTTAACGATCGCTTGTTTGGCACAGGGTTAACGATCGAGCCCAGTGGAGCAGAAAGGCGCGAAGAATTTCAATGCGAGGGGAAAAGCATCGGGTGGTCTGGTACTGGAATCGAGTCGAATCGAATCCACTGTTCGACGACGTCGCGTTGGGTAAGGACTCATTAAGAATTACGTTGGAAGCAGCTCTCGAATCGTGTGCACGCTCTTCGATCGCGTTCACTTTTGCGATACCCTTTCGCGACTCCCGAGGTTCCCCTCAGATTTTATGGAACACGTTCGATAATTAAGGGTGCAAGAACCTGTTCGCGATTGCGATAAAAGAAACTTTCGTTGGTAAAAAGTGTGCTCTACGAGCAGGTTACCAAATTCTGCTTAGATATCGGTGGCGTTTACGGTCGTCGTACTTGACGCATTAATTGGCTTGTAGCGTACACGTAGGGCGGGGACAACAAATGTTAACAGCGTTAACAAAAACCAGCAGTCGTTAACTTTCAACGTTTAGTTTCGTGTATTCCCGTTTCCAGTTCCCGACTTTCGTTTTGTTGT